CTGGATTTTCAGACATGTGCCTTGAACTTTTCGTCTCAGAGCCATGGCTTTGGATTTGGCTGCAGAGATCTTTAGTCCTGTCCTACACCACTCCTCAGACACAAGGTCCAGACAACGCTTGGCTTTTTTTTAGGCAGTGTGATCCAGTGGAGGTGATGGCAAGATCGTCTTCATACGAGATGATTTTGCACCCCGCTGGGAGGTTTATGTCGAGGATGCAGGTCATCATGGCGTTGAATAGGGTTGGAGTGAGAACCCCACCCTGTAGCGTTGCATTCTCTAGAGGCATGTGCTGTAATGTGCTGGATGCTGGAATTTGACTCTGGCTGTTCTGTTCCTGAAGTAGTCACCTATCCAAGCCAAGAGCTTTCCTCTGATTCCCTTCTGGATCAGGCTCTCCTGAATGGCAAGAGGACTTGCTAATTCAAAGGCCTTCTTTAGGTCTAGGAATACTACCACAGATGTGCCCGTACTGATTGTACTTAAGAGCGTGGCTATGCTGTGTGCTGTGCTCATCCACTTGGTGAACCCGTGGAGGTGTTCGTGTGGGGGTCCCATTTTCCATTGGAGCCGGTTTAGTACCATCCTCTCGGCCGTCTTAGACAAACAGCTGAGGAGAGAGATGGGGCGGTACTTCCCTGGTTCCTTTGGTTTTGGGATGGAACTATGGTAGCCCTCTTCCAACTCTGGGGTAGAGTGGAAGATTCCCAGGACTTGTTGATGAGTTGCAGGAGTGCAAGCTTACCCTCTAGTCCTAGGTGGGAGATAATGAGGTACGAGATCCCATCAGTGCCCGGGGTTGTGTTGGAACAGGAAAGGGAGAGGAGGGAGTATAAGAGAGAGAGAGGAGAGGGAACGCGGTAGCACGGGGCAGGTCTAGACAAACGAACGGAAGCGAAGGGAGGTTAGGTCTGGCCTTGCCTCTCCTCACTTTCCTTTATACCTCCTCCTCTCCCTTTCCTCTTCAGTCCTGAAGATGGAATTCGAAACTGTTGTCTCATTATCAATAAATCTAGTTTCTGCACTGTGTTTTTTTCTACCGTAGTATCAACATGGTAGAGTGTTTTACCATTAATATATATATATATATATATATATATATATATATATATATATATATATATATATATATATATATATAAATATATATATAAATATATATATGAGAAGGGTAACGTCTCGCGAAGAGGTAAGAAAGGCTGAGCGAATAAATTCCTGTCATTCCACTTTCTCCCACAGTAACAAACTCTACAGCGTTTTCTTTAGGGAACTAATGTGATAAAAAATGCTCTAGATCAGTGGTTCTTTGGGGTGCGCCCCCCTGAGGGGCTTCAGTATTTTCCAAAGGAGACGCGAGCCCTCGGAAAAAGTCAATAATTTCTCTAATTATCTTTATTTTCTTAACGAGAGCATGGTCACATAATGGAAGGTTTAATTGTAATGCCACTAATTCATACTCAATAAAAAGACTAACAAAACGTACTGATGATTTCCTTTAAAATCTGAGAGGGAATTTTCTTTACAGATACAAAGCAGTCGTGGAGGGCAGGGCAAATTCTTAAAGGGGGTGTGGTAATTAAAAGGTTTAGAGCCACTGCTCTACAGAGTTAGCTTGAGCTAGCGGTGAGGCAACTTCATCAGAGTTAGCAAATCTGGTTAATATCTACCATTCCTAGATATAAATTTTATGCTTCCTATATTGCATGTCAAGGACAGAATTATGAAGACTCTTAGTATGTAAAGGCATTAGTTCCTCGTGTAGAAAAAAAATTACTGCAAAGAATAAATGTAGTTTTGCTGATTCCACAACACTAGACACACACAAACACTCTTTTTACACCATAAGGCAGGAGGAATGCGGAGGATTACGTTTATTGTATTTTTCTGACTGCAAAGAATTCCAGATATAGGTAACACCACAACACAGATCTATGATACAGTTTAAGGCCAGAGTGTGTTGCATATTTCTTTGGAGACACTCAAATTACATTTGATGCAGAGTTAACAAGTCTTTTTTTAGAATCAACTTTAAAAGAAATTACCCACATTCTTCTATGGTTTACATGTTCCATTACAGAAGGCGAAAATGGACCCCGCGTCGATGTCCTGTGTAAAATAGAACTACAAAGCCGTTGCTATCTTTTCTCACTGTGCCATATCCCCCCCCCCCAGCGTACATATACACATGCCAATACAATTAGCTTTACCGTTTTATATGAGATCACAGGTCACTGTTGTAATCCAGTGTCGAAGGGAGTCCGTTACAAAAGTTCAGAAAAATCCCACAAAACACAAAAGGTGACAGCGTGTTGCCTCGGCGAACCCCAGCTGCCCTCTCTCTGCCTCGGGCGTGTCTGGCGGGCTTCCCCCAGGTGCGCTTCCTCACCTTCGCGGTAATTAGCTACTACACAATTCACTAGTTGTCTTTTCCTGCGCATATAATTGTGCCTTATATCCGAGCGTCTTAAATGTTTATTCAGCACTATAGTCTCAATTCATGAGGTCGTTTCTTAGTTAATCATGTCGTCCTGCGCAGTTGTTTTCGTCCGCGCCCTAGTTCTCGCGCCTTTTGCAGTGCCCTTGTTTTGGTTCGTCGTTTTTAATGATCCTGTGCGTACAATTGCCCGTGCGTGCCAGTCCATTGCAAATCGGATCACGACAGATAGATAGATTGATAGAGATGTATAGATATATAGACACATACACATGACATTTTGCATTTGAATCTATCCATATACAAACATATATATATATATATATATATATATATATATATATATATATATATATATATATGTATATATATATATGTATATATATATATACTTATATATGTATATGTATAAATATATGCAAACAGATACACATATTTACACCCACACACGTTTCTGAATCTACTCCCCCCCCCCTCGCAGGAGAGCTGTGGGGCGACGAGCGCAGCAACGGCTCGTGGTCGGGCATGATGGGGATATATCTATATATATACATATATATATGTATATCTATATATATACATATATATATATCTATATATATACATATATATATATCTATATATATACATATATATCTATATATATACATATATATATATATCTATATATATACATATATATAAGATATATATACATATAAGATGTATATACATATATATGTATCTTTAAAGTCATCTGGAATAACTTCTGATTGATAAATCTGGTTAATGAGTTTTGTGACTGTAGATATGTTTTCGTCATCTAAACTTTGTAGGATTTCTGCTGGTATGTCATTTACACCAGTTGCCTTGTTTTTTTTGTTTTTTTTTTTGAAGATTTTTAATTATTTCTTTTACTTCATCTTCTAAAACATAATTCTGATTGTCAATGCTTACATTATTTTGATTGTCTTCTTCTCTATCGTCATTATACAGTTCTTCAACATATTCTGTCCATCTTTCTTTTATTTCTTCAGTGTCATTTATAAGTTTTCCTTTTTTTATGCCTTGTTCGTCCTTTTGTTGAATTGCTTCAGTTTCTGGTAGAATTTGTTGCTATGGTGTTTGTCTAATTTTTCTAGTACATTATATTTTTCTAGGTGATATTTGTCTTTTGCTTTTCTGCATTCTTTATGTATTTTCTGTGATATTTGCTTGTATTCTGCTGATTTATTACCAGTTTTTACTTTGATTTTCCTTCTTGCTTTCATTAGTTGTAAAATTTCTGCTGTGATCCACTTTTGCTTCTTTTCAGCTGTTTTGTGACCACACATTAGATTTGCTACATAGTGTAGACAATTTTTGTATGTATTCCAATTTGCATTTGAATTTTCGTCATCAGTGAAGATCATTTGATTTTTGCATAATATGTTTAGTTGTTCTTTTTTGCCAGGTTCTTTAAATACTTTTTTATAGCATAGTGCTAAGTGGAAACAATGTAGATAACTTATATAATGCAGTATATAAATCTAAAAAAAATGTTTTTAGGGCATTTGAATTACACCCTTAATTTTAGTATGTGGTGCAGCATTGGATGTAAGCTAGTCAGAACTCAATTATCAAAGTGTACATATTATTTTTTGAACATGAGGACAAACCGATGTGGCACAGGACGGCTGCTTTTGTTTGAGCGGTAAGACATTTACAAGCAAGTTTTTTTACGCTTGACAGCGCTGAAGCTCGCCCATTAAACATAAAATAATAGCAAATCAGTGGCGCTGCAGATAAGGTCCATAATTTCAAGTTATAACCCAATTAGACACCGCACCCGATGTCTTCCTCGTCTGACGAGATGATCAGAAAGAGTAGCTCTATAGTTAATATTATACGGATGATCCATTCTTAAGAAGGATCATTCGTAAATATTGCGTTACTGTTTGCCTGAAGTTGTTTCTACCTTAATTTGTATTTTATCAAAGATAAAACTAAATCCATACAGATATTGATGCCCCGGCCTGCCTTTCGTTTTTGTTTTTCATCGAAGGATTTGTAGGAGAGTTTTGCTAATATTCGTTTGGTTTCCTTATATATATATATATATATATATATATATATATATATATATATATATATATATATATATATATATATATACACATATATATATATATACAATATATATATATATGTATATATATATATATATATATATATATACATATATATATATATATATATATATATATATATATATATATATATATATATATAAAGTATATATATCATGAAGTCATAGAGACTCAGTCCTATGGATACTAGAAATACATATAGATAGTAAATGAATCAGGGTTGCCTTTCTTGAAATGCTTGAAATACTAAAGCCAAGGAAAAGGGACGAAGGAAGAACTGTAGAAATAATCAATACCTTGTATATTTTATTCTTTTTTTTTCATATTATTCATCTTATTATTTCTGTTTTACTTAGTAACCGATATAAAGAAAAAAGTGGACGAAAACTTAGTAACATTTAATTTCTCAAACAAAATTTTAACTGCGGATCAAAAGGATCTTATAGCTGAAACTAATGTTTATCCCAAAAATATATTTGCTTTTCTATAGATTTAACACGTACTTTGAAAAAAACAACAACTTTGTAGTACAACTTCAATAATATTACAATCAACAGTACAACTACAAGTAGCCAACAACACTTTTACAATATTCTCGCACCAGAGAAGACAAACTCATGATTCAGATATTTTCTTATCAGCTCTACAAGCTCTTAACCCATTCACGCCGGGTGTCCCGTATATGTGACGGGCCCACTGTGAGTTTACTTGTTTGATTGTTTTCACACATAGATGGCTGCACTTGTACTTGTACTGCCTGTCTCGCCTGTTTACCCTTTTCTTTAATTTACGAAAATATTATACGTTATCTTATTTTGCTGTTACTAACATTATAGTAATTATAATGTTTACAATAAAAATAACCATCGATATTCACTGTAATAGTTAAAATACATTTTCCCGCCAAATGAAATCAGGTAAGGCAGAGCCATCTAGTGTAGAAAAAATTCACAAAAAGTATAAAAATTGAGCACGGCATTTTCCCCCATTTTTTGTTCATTTTTACCCGGCGCGAATGGGTTAAGAAATGACAAGAGAATAGTAATTGCCAAACGAGACAAGGGACGAGTTGTTAATTTAATCAAATATGATTACAAACAAAGGCTTATAGACTTGTGAATGACCTCACAATTTCAGATGAATTACGACTGAAGTATCCACCTATCTGAACAGACTACTTCGTAATATCAAATCATCCATTGATGAAAACACCTACAACTTTCTTACTACTTCCGTTTCCAGACCTGCTGTGTTTTATCGACCACCCAAAGATCATAAGAAAATATTCCTATTAGACTCATTAATTTCTCGATTGGCACTTCCAAGAGCTTTGATGTTGAATCACTGTTCATAAACTTGTCTTTACAAGAGACCACAGAGTTAATAGGTAACAACCAAGGCAGTATTCATCTTGACAATTTTGGCTTAGATAAAGTTAACTTCAAAATATTACTGAAAATATATATGGGTGTTTAGGTTTTGAACTCAGGAACCATTTAAAAACACTTGCAAAATAATTGCCCCCAGATTGAGTTAACTTTTGCATTTAGTATCACCAACACTATAGAAAGATTCATAAAACAATGTATGAACTACAGCTCTGACTTATCATGTGGTTTATTTATTTACCCGCCCTTGCTACCAAGCTAAAAAAAAAAAAAGAAAAAAAAAAAAATCTTTTCTCTTCCTGACTTAACCCAATGGTGCCGGGGAAAATGAACAAAAAATGGGGAAAATATTGTGACCACTTTCTATGTTTTTCGTGAAATGTCTGCCGATAGATGGCTCTGCTAGCGCCTGATTTAAATGGCGGGAAAAACGTATTTTTCACTAGGGCTATGAAAATCGATGGTGTTATTTTTATCATAAACATTATGATTTTTATAATGTTTTTAAACATTAGTAACAGCAAACAAATATTACGTAAAATATTTTGTAAATCAAAGAAACGGGTAAACGGGCGAGACGGCCGGTGCTCCTAACTGGCTCATTGGGGAGTTAGTACAAGTGTTGCCATCTATGCGTAAAAACAATCAAACAAGTACTCACGGTGGGCATAGCACGTACGTACACGTCATACCCTGCACCAAGGGGTTAACAATATGATACGAAGACGAATGCGGTTGGAAAAAGTGTTGTGAGTCAACCTGATATGCAGTTGACCACCTAGACTTTGTCCCATTAAACAATTTTCATACCATAATTGCTTGAAATGATGATTGCGGATATGATCCTGGGGGAAAGTCTCTGCCCCTGGCTGCTCAAGCATTCTCAATGGGATTGAGATCTGGTGATTTGGGTGGATGTGGCACAACATAATCTCGGGGTGTCGCCGAAACCAAGCCTTCACGACACTACTCGTGTGGATGGGTCTGTTGTCCTGAACGAGGTACAATGGCTCTGTCTCAAGGAACACCACGGACCTCACCAATGGTAGAAACATCTCGTCTGGGATTTCCGCATAATCATACCCCGTAACTCTGCCGGGCCTGACATCTGTCAACTCCCCGACCCCTCTGCTGGGCATCCATTCAAACAGCCCAGCGATTTCTGATACTTTGAGTCCGGCAATGTAATGCGAAGTCCCACTGGATGTTGCCAGCAGAACAAAAGGGGTCTGCATCCCTTGCAGTAGTTATGGATTGCTCTAAATAACAACGAAAATAAATGATTAGGAAGAAAATGACTCGGTAAGGAGACGTGGCAAATAACTACCGGCTATGCTCCCTTCTCAGATCCAGTTGGCTGCAAGGGGTGTTGCCACTGAGTATCAAAAGGTTTTCATTAGCTCATGCTAGCCATGCACTTCAATGCAAGCTTCCTATTTTTCTTTCATATAGCACACTGATTTATAAATTTTATAAAAATACCCACTAGACTCCCCCTTACCATAAACGCCCAGTTTGGTTAGTTTGTCATTCCTTTTATACGTTCCACATATTTATGATTTCTATTTTG